GGCAGACCTTCAGCCTCTGGTCGAATGGTTAAATGGGCGGTGGAGCTGGGAGAGTACAATGTTAGTTTCGAGACAAGGAGAGCCATTAAAGCACAGGCATTGGCAGATTTTATTCAGGAAGGCACGATGGATGAGAAGCCAGGCGTGTGGGAGGTATATGTTGATGGGTCTTCGACTAAAATAGGAGCAGGGATTGGCATCCTAATTTTGCCACCGGAAGGGGAACCGTTGGAATTCGCGGTGAAGCTCACTTTCAGAGCCTCGAATAATGAGGCGGAGTACGAAGCACTATTGAAGGGAATGCAGTTGGTAGCGAGTGCAGGGGCTAGGAAAGTTGTCATACATTCAGACTCCCAGTTAGTAGTCGAACAGATGAAAGGGGAATACGAGGCTAAAGAAGAGAGAATGGGGAAGTATGCAGAGGAAGCACGAGCATTGGCTAAGAGTTTTGAGTCGTGGCAGCTCGTGCAGATACCAAGGGAGGAGAATGGGAGAGCGGACTTGTTATCTAAAGTAGCTGCTTCTCTTGTAGATTGCAAGTCGTGCTCAGTAACTTTGATGCAAATGGGGTCCAGTATTATAGAGGGTGTATTGGAGGAGTCCTATCCTGAGTTGGTTAGCTAGGGCCAAGTTAGGGCAGCCGGATAGGCGGGATGATAAGCTGGGCCGGCGGGCGCTACGATTCTTTGTTCAGGATGGGGTGCTTTTCAAGAGATCATATTTGGGACCTCATCTAAGATGTGTTTCCGAAGAAGAAGGAGATTATGTGTTAAGGGAGATTCATGAGGGTTGCTGCGGTGATCACATTAAGGCGCGGGCTCTAACGAGCAAAGTGCTAAGGGCCGGGTACTTTTGGCCAACGATGAGGGCCATGGCGAGAGAGTTGGTACAGAAATGCATAAATTGCCAGCAACACGGGCAGCTCATACATGTCCCCGCGGAAGAGTTAGTGCCAATGAGTTCACCTTTACCATTTGCTCAGTGGGGAATGGATATAGTTGGGCCTTTTCCGCAGGGCTCTGGACAGATGAAGTTTTTGCTGGTGCTTGTGGATTACTTCAGTAAATGGGTGGAGGCTGAGGCAATGGCCAAGATCACTGAGGAGAAGGTTATCAAATTCTTATTCACTAATATTTGTTGTAGATATGGCATCCCACGGGTTATAATTTCTGACAACGGCCCACAATTTCGAGGAAAGAAGATTATGGCGTGGTGTGCAGAGATGTGTATTAAGCAACATTTAGCTTCAGTGGCACATCCTCAAGCCAACGGACAGGCAGAGGTGGCCAACCGGACCATATTGCGGGGGTTGCAAACGCGGCTTGGTAGAGCTTCTGGTGCGTGGGTGGATGAGCTTGATACAGTGCTTTGGTCGTATAGAACTACGCCAAGGACAACGACAGGAGAAACTCCTTTTAGCTTGGTATATGGGATGGAAGCTGTGATCCCAGTGGAAGTCGGCCTGCGTTCTCAAAGGATATCTACTTTTGAGCCGGAAGAGAATGAGGAACTGGTCAAGGAGGCACTTGAGTTAATTGATGAAGCACGGGACCAGGCTTGGTTGAGGACCATGCAGTATAAGCAGAGAATGTGCCTAGCTCATGCTAAGAAGGTAAAAAAGAGGGAATTCCAGGTAGGTGATCTTGTTTGGAGGAGAGCAGATGTGCTGAAGCATGTTGGCAAATTGGAGCCAAATTGGGAGGGGCCGTACGTTATTCAAAGAGTGTTTGCCGGAGGGGCTTATGAGCTAAAAGACCCAGATGGTAAGGTCTTCCCCAGACCTTGGAATATTGCCAACCTTAAGAAGTACTATTGCTAGTTTATCGTCGTTTTGAATTATGTTTGAAACATTGCTAATTTGAATTGTTGAAGCTTAGGATAGTTTGAGTTGATCTTCAGAATAACTTTTATGATGAAGCAACATCGACTCACCTAGAATCGTTTTTGGGATTTGTTATTCCGGATTTCAAGTACGGTCACTTACTTATGCATGGCGTATATCGTAATTAGAAGTCGCGGACTTTTCTTTTCTATCTTATTACGCATAAGTTGTTTGTTGTGATGCGCTGTGTTGTGATGACTTAAGGCCGAGCTCTTAGGAGTTCGGGTGTTGTCAGAAACGATGACGACTTAAGGCCGAGCT